AATGAAAAGGTAAAATCTAAAATGAACACGTATTTACTTTTTCGTTTTTGATCCAACTCAAGTGATGTTTCTTTCACACATTAAAAAGATATTTCTAATTATTTTCTTCCAAATTTACCTTATTTAAATACGTAAATTTTTACATTTAGTAACCAAAAATAATTAAATAAGTTCTGTTAATTAATGATAAGTATTTAAACATAGTCGCTAACTAATAATACAGTTTCAAATGATTACACATTTAAACACAAATCACTAGTCCCATCAACCTATTTAATAATGATAGCTTTCTTCTTAGCTATAATTTGAAATTCGAGTATTAATACTCCTCCCGTTTCATATTAATTGAATTGTTAAAATATTTTTTAATTTTTTAATTAAATTAATTGTTCAATTTTCAATATTACTATTAGAATGATTTTCCAATTTTACCCTTCATTAATTATTAGTATGAGAATTAGTTGATAATTAATGTTTAGTTATTATAACCATAATTTTGATTATAATTAACAAGGATAAAATTGAAAAGTTAAGCCTAATTTATGTCTTAATCTTCTTTTATTAAATAATGTGAAACACCTCAATAATTCAATTAATATGAAATGGGGAGAGTATTATTTTCATTGCCTCCATTGTTGTTATAGAATCAACTAATAAGGAGAAAGGTATGTTACTAATTATGTTCATTGCGTTTAAGCAAATTTTATAGCTTAACTATACACATCACATATTTACACGCTAAAATGATAAGAGTATCATTTAAACCACAAATTGCAGATTTGATCAAACTCAGTAATTTTAGTTCAAATTAGCTAATATACTTATATCTTCAAAAATATGATTCACTAATGACTAAACATGTATAAATAATTTATTCAGACCCCAATCATAGTCCTTATATATCCTAAATTATGAAATACATAACTTGAACTTCTAACAGTATCAAATATGAATTTATTATTATAATAATTTGTCTTAATATATAGAATATAAAAGTAGAGAAGGTAGATATATAAAGTTAGGGTTTGTGAAGGATGTCGTTACCTAGGAAGGTGAGAGGCATCTTCCTAATGAAAATAATCTTGAAAAAATCGTTGGTCTTCTGGAGCCTACATTACATATTGTCTTCATTGTGCATGTGCTAAGAGGTCCCCATACTTTCATAATTCATTATGGTATACGTCTAATCAGAGTTGAATTCAGGATTTTAAAACGAAACATATGTCATTTTTTTAAAAAATAACATATAAATATTTATAGTAATAATAACTTAACGAGCAAAAGATAATTAATTATATATCATCACAAAACATATCAGCAGTGTTTTGATGTGTCCTTAGATAATACTATACTACATATATTTTAAAAATTATACAAATAACATATCGAATTTAATCAGATATTGCTTCACTATTGCATATATTATGCATGGCTTTTGAAAGAGGCCTATCAGGGATATTAACTAGCTGGTACTGTGAGTCTGTGACACTAAATATAAAGAAGTGTCTATCTTTGCATGTGCATGGGCAGAATATTGTATGGAACATGTTCATTGGCTTCTGCTTGTCACTCAATTTTCATATCAAATTAATTATCTGATCCCATCCTAAAAGAATGTTTCAGTGCTACCAATTATTTTACAACTAAACAAAATACAATACCTGAATCTGAATGAATGAATGAATAATTAATTAACAATTTATTACATTGTATTCTGTGTCTTAATAATTCTCTCCCTATCTCTTTCAGAATATCCTGTGGCTGTTATATATTCTTTATTATATGTCTCGATTTAAATATTAGTACGACTGTACGATATATTTCCCACAAATAATTTCATGGAATCGTCCGAGTATTAATCCTTATTAACTTGACAAAACAAACTCATTAAATTTGCATAACAAAGATGAGATAATTAAGAAGTGTTAAAGGATAAAAAATTAGTAGGTGTACATGCGGAAGTTAGCAAAGCAAATCTCGAAAGACCACTAGTAAGAAGACAACGAGAAATATACCAAGAGACACAAAGATTTAACGTGGTTCGGTCAAACAAACTACGTCCACTAAGGAGATGAGCAATCCACTATAAATATGAAAGTACAAAATACAGAGGAAAATAACTTCAACCAATTTACTCGGAATACATGGGAGGTTCACACAAGTGATAACGTATCAAGCTTATGACCCATAAATTCTCCCCCTAACCAAAACTCTCAAAGCCACTAAGACTACATTGTGAATGCTGATTGAGTTAGAAAGAACATGCCTCTATTTATAGAGCCCAAAACCTTTTTCTAAAAGGAAAATCCATTTATAATAAGAAATTTAGGACAAATAAAATCTAACAAGAAAGAAACATTCTTTTTTTTTAGATTTTTCTATCGTAAGTTATCAATGGTCTTTAATCTCCTAGTTGATGTAGCAAATAAAACAGTGACTACACAAGCATGTGGGCATGACATAATTATTTTTTTGAAAAATTAGCTCTCGACTATTTATTATTAGTTGTATATTTTTTTAAAGGACAACTAATAAAAACATGTACAAACCATACAATTTTAGTCAAATAGAACTGTTAAAAATAATGAAAATACGGACTATGAATATGTTTAAGATGCAATGACTATTTATTTTAACGATGTATTCTCTTTTCAAGCCAAAATCAATTTAAAAAGTTGAGTTCCTTCATTTTGAGTCACATAAAAAGATTAAACCAAAATAACGAAATTGCAATTGTGTACTTCTTTCTTTAAATTAAATAATAATTTATTTCAACGGTAACTTTTATCTACTTTTAGGCGAAACCTATAAATATTAAAAAGAAAATGATTAGTGATCATTTATTTTTAGTGAAATAAAAAGTTTTAGCAAAATAATAAATCAAAGTTAGGCTGTTTTTAGGCATCATCACGCTTTTAAGTAAAATTATATATTCCGTAAAATTGATCTAGTATGATTTATTAGCACATGTCACTTGAACTATAAAATGATTGAACATTATACTCGACTGAATGTTAAGTTATTTATATTACTAAAATAAATAGAGGTTGATTCCTTATTAGTACTATAGTATTTTTCTCCTCTTTTCTTGCGTAGAGATGATGCATATGCAATCATGCGATTGGTAAAATATATGTCTAAATATATGTCTACTTCGATGATGTGTGATGTTAAATATATAGTAAGACAATGTGTGGCATGGTTCATGAGGGGGGTTAGAGCCGTGATTCATGAACTATTCTAGTACTGACAAAAATAAAAATGGAGAACAAAACAATGTACTATAGTGTTACGTATCTCCATAAAACAGAAAGTGTCATGATTCTTGACGTACGACTTACTTTTCCTTACATAATCCTTACGTAGTTACGTACAGAGTAGCGACTCTAAGATTTTCATCAAGAGAGTTTGAGAAAGAAGAGCAGTGTTAAAAATTTGATCTTGGAACCTTAAGGTTGTGTTTGGAACCCTCAACAACTAAGCCAACCTCTAAGTTTACGAGGTTCAAAATAAATATATCCTTAAATATACAATATAATTTTTTATCGAAGGGTTAAGGTAAACCCCTTAGCAACCTCTATGTTCACACCTGCTTACATATATATTATGGTTTTATGGTTTTGGTCTGTAGGCAGAGACAGAGCTAGGTGGGGTTTTATGGTTTTGGACGAACCCAATAGCTTTCGTTACACGCTAATTTTTACTAGAAACTTAGTTAAATATTCATATATATATTAATTTGTGAACTCCTAAAAAAATTGATTGACGGTTAATAACGAAATTTAGAATTCTCAAATTTCTAATCCTCGCTGCGCCTCTCTCCATAGGCGTCGCTGGAATTAGGCGCCTCATGCAATAATAGCAAATATAGCACCGGAATTACTTACCAATATCTACTGTTCGGTCATACTTATTTACCGATTACTTAATATGTATATTAAATGTATAGTATATGTATACACTTTTTAATCTATATAACTCTTGCATTTGTGGACTATTTTGTAAAAACTATATCACCACAAGTCATTGAACTATAATAATTCCTGATTTATTGATGTCTAGAACGAATATAATACTTTAAAACAAAAATTGTAGATATGAATTATAATATTAACTGCTAATCACAAGAGTTAAATATTTAACTTGAGAAATAGTGTGGTATAGGTTAATCTTGATAGTTTTACTCAACAAAAAATTTGTTGATATTTTTGGAATTTGATGCATTTCTTTTCATCAATGAAAAGGTTGGATTTGGACAATTTTAAAGGGGTACCAATCACAATCAGCTACAAACAGAACTTGGGCCATTAAACCTTTTGGGCTGAAGAGTCTAGCACAGGCACTACTCTGCCAGAAGCCTTGAAGAAATGGTAAGAATTGCATCCCATAGCCAATTGTTGATATAAGTATGAATTATTTAAGTTATAATCAATTATTTGATAATATTTAACTGGTAGCCAGTATTGACGAACACTATTGCTGCTCCTCTACATTATCTACACTCTCGTGCGACAGACTCTTAGGACCTTATATTATAATGAAAAAAAACGAGTGACTACTTCACAGGAAATAGAGGCGATGTGTCATCATATTTGAAAGTTCTTTCAAGCGTGTTAAATCAAGTCAAATTTTATATATATATATATTCCTATTAGTTTAAACATAATAATAATTTAAGTTAAGATTTTAATTGATTTGTTGTAGAAAGCCTCGGAGAGTTTTTCCCAAATTAGATAATAAAAGATGTTAAGGATACGTTTAAACTCATGTAATATGTTGATACAATAACACAAGGTGTTTAAGTTTCAATTCTAAAATATACGTAGAACAAATCAATAGCGTAGCCACATATATAGTGGGTGTCCAATTGGACACCCGAAAAAATATCATATATACAAGTGAAATGATACATGAATTGAATAAATAACATATTATAGACAACCTTAACATAACAAATTGCTATTTTTGAACACTTTTTGTTAAGTTTTTAACTCCGCCACTTTGAACAAATAGCAACCAAGTGATGACATATATCAACATAAACATGGGTAAAACATAATCATACAATATTTTTCAAACCACCGCAACTTGCACATGGCTTAGCAGCAAGATATATACTGCAATGTAGCCAGACATGATTTGCTATTACTATCTCATAAAGATATGATAAAATTAAATATGCTAAGGTCCACATACACACTCGTAAAATAATTACTAGTAATAAATTAAGGGCACTTGGTCTTGTTGCCATGGGTAGTCATTTCAGTGTAACATTTGCCACACTTCTCTCTGTTCCCAAAGGTCCCTGGTGGCACACATTTGCACCTAACACAACATGTTCCACATGCCCTAAAACACACATTGGGCCTCGAGTGTAAACTGCATCTGTATTTGCACAATCCTCCACAATCCAATGGACTGGGAGGTGGAGCTGGTGCTGGAGCTAGAGCAATATCCCCATTGTTCAAGTATTTTGCAACCTTTAAAACTGCAACGACAATAATAAATATGAATATTTATATTTAACACTCTAAATTAAAGTGGTCAACGAAAAATTACATGCGCAAGATTTAAACGTTATGTCATTATATTGTACCACAACTAACCTTAATTAAAGTTCACACTTAAAAAAGAATTTGAGTATTTTAAGTTAGTATAAAATCAAGGTGTGTATATAAAGAGACATGATCACTAGTAATGACTTGAGTAGTCTCCTTCAGAGTCGTAACTATCTAGCGTAAGTGTACACATGTTAATATAGCACACATCCTAAAAGAAAAAAGAAATTAGAGATCACTTTATTGATTTAATCTTTTGATTATATTTTTAAATTTAAATTTGTATACAAATGAATAATTATTTTTAAAAGTAATTTAGAGATAAAAGATAGAACTGGTTAAAATTAATAGTTTGTATATTGATTTATATAAATAGTTTTAAAATGAATGTCAATTTTGAATATATGAAACATTTTAACTTTAAAATTACTAATTTACCATTAGTAAATTGAATTATAAATACACAAATAGTTAAGAGTACTTCTTTCTTAAACATTCTACCAAATTACACTGTATATATAAATTAAAATAAAATAAATTATTCTGTCTACATTTCTTCACTTCAATATCAAATTTAATATACACTTCTTTGTTCAAATTAAAAAATATGATTTAAAAAATATTTGTCAAAATGAAAAGGGCTGGTAATATAAATAGGATAGTATCTACTTCCTTCGTTCAAAATTATTTTTCATATTTTTTATTTTTTAGAGTTATACTATAAGAAATTTAACTAACATTTTAATATATAATTTTTCATCATAATAATATGCAAAAAAAATTACAATTTATAATACTTTTTATATAATTTTAAAATATTTAATTTTTTTAATAAAAATATCGAATTAATTTAATTTAATTTAACGTCAGAATTTCTGATTTGTAGATTCAATCAATGTGACGGTCAACCAAACCACCAAGAGGTGCATTTATTCAATTAATAATAATTACTGATTACGGCCACTGACTTGAAAAATGTGATAGATGGTGTTTATAGCTCTTAATTAACTGAAAAATAAATTCAAAATCCAGTGATAAATTCATAAATTAAAGTTAAAATATCATAAAAAAAAAAAGAAGATATATCTCATGAGTATAAACAATACACAAAACAAAAAAGCATTTTATAACTTACCTATGTCTTGAACTAGCCTTCTATTGGCTCCTCTGGTGAAAACCTGAAAAGGTTAAAAATAAATTCAGGTAACGAGTAAACAGTTCAACTATATTACCATACCGAAATCATCAAAAATAACAAAGTCCAAGTACATTCGATAAATATATCCTTTATCAGTCCATTCCAAAAAAAGAAAAAATTATATCGCACAAATATTATGACATATTTAAATTCAATAGCAACAGAAACATTATATTATTTTAATACGTTAAAAGAAAAAATTAACAGAGACGAACACGAAGTGCCTGGCTGAGACCAACATGTTGTTGTTTGTCTTCTTCAACTTCCTTGAGATCAATAATAGAATCCTGCGCACATACATAGAAATAATAACTACTTTTACATTATCAGATTCAAAATATGAAAAAGAAAACGCATAAGTAAAAAAAATCTAACTAAAAAATCTACTGTTAGTTGAGTAATTATTCGATTGAAATCGACGAAGACTGAAATATTTACCTGTGCCTTAACAGTAAGGAAAAATAAAACTAAAAGAAGCAGTACACGAAGCGCCATCGCCATGTATATTATAACCGCAGCTCCTGCTTAAAACTTAGCTTAAGTCTAGTTAATGAAATTTTGAGGTCCATGTTTAATTTTATAGTTGAAGAAATGTATGGGCGGGGGACCCTGGTTAATAGTAAACTCTGACGATGATCTAGCTGTGTGCATTACTAATATACAGCTGTTTCTTCCTCTGTACCTCTTTTCGAATTTCGAGCTTACTTATAATTCCATATCTCCTAAACTTAGGTCCGTTTGGATGGATTTAATAAAAGGATCTTTACTTTTGAAATGCTGAAATTTATTTTTAAAATAAGTTATGCGTTTGGATAAAAGTGCTGAAGTTGCTATGCCAAATGTGAAAAGGAAAAATGAAAGAAAGAGATGTTAGGATTATGTGGAGTAATTTGGAGATTATATAAAAATATTGAAAGAGATATTAGGATTATGTGAGTAATTCGGAGATTATATAAAAATATTAAGGGTAAAAAGATAAAAATGTGGTCAACTTAAAAAAGCTTATAAGCTTAAAAAAAAAGACCCCTACCCCAGCTTTTAACTTTTGGCTTAAAATAAATTTGTCAAAAACCAGCTTTTAAGCTAAGCCAAACAAGCTCTTAGAACGAAAATTTACGCCCTCCGTTCATTTTTATTTGTTATTTTTTTTTATAAATAGTTAATTTTATAATACTTATCATTTCATAAAATTAATGAATAAATATTTTTTATCCTTGTGAGTTACTCCCTTCGTTCGAAATTATTTGTCATGTTGTGCTTATCGAAAGTCAATTTAATTAATTTTCAAAGATAAATTGAATCACATTAATCAATATTTTAAATAAAAAAATTAGATATTCTAAAACTATATGAAAAATACTATAAATTACAATTTTTTACATATTAATATGATGAAAAAATACATCTTAAAATGTTAGTCAAAGTTTTTATAATTTGACTTTAAAAATAGAAATCATGACAAATAATATCGGACGGAGAAAATTTATATTTTACCAACTTGTAAAAATTAAGTAAATGATTTTATATTCATTAATTAAATTAATATATCAAAATAAATTAATTCAAATTCTTTAATTGAATACTACAATTAAAGGAATAAAATATCATTTTTTATTCTTTGAATAAATAAAAAACCAAAAGTTTGCCCAAAAGAAAAAATTCCGCCTAAAATTAATTTCAATTTCCCACTTACTTAGAGACGGCTCTAGGGACGACAATATTTCTATCACATTAATTAAATTAAATTAAGCTATCTAGTCATGTGACATTTGCTCCTCTTTTTGTGTCACCTCTAAGTACGTACCTTCTCAATTCTCTGTAGAAAGCAAAACATAATTTGCCAAGTACTTTTGAAAAATAATAACAATTGCGATTTATAAGAAATATGAGAAAACATGTGTTCGTTCAGTCACAAACTGTAGTTAAGCATTGCTAATACTAATGTTTGATAATATATGTTTTTCTATGTATACCAAAAAGGCACTATTTGATTTAGATATTATTTTATATTACATAAAAAATTAAATAATTAATGTATAAATAGCTGAATTCTTGGTAACTTAATAAATAATGCTGAATTAATATATGCATATAGCTCTAATTAGCAATGATCCTCTTAATATATTGAATTTTGTAAAAAAATTATCTCCTCCCTTTATCTATTTGGAATAAGAGTGTTTTTTATATATACTATATGATAAAACACGTGTTCTCGTGATTAAAGAAAAAAGTAAAAACGGATTTAGTCGATTATCTATACAAATTCTCCTAAAAACAGGAAAAGTAATAATTGGAACTTTTCGAATGTCATTTCATTTTCATTTTTCTTGTGATGAAATGAAATTTTCGAGATGAGCGTCACTTCACAATCAATATAAGAACATCTTTACATTTCTCATATTATCTATTGCTTTCTTAAAATATAAAACTTATAATCTTTAAAAGTGAAACAAATTATCTACTTTAACATTCAAACATAACATGATTATAATAAAAACATTATCTTATACTACTATAATGACAATGAATATAACTTGAACTCTTGTGAATAGAGAAAGATTAGTATCCCATGCAAGGCAAAAGCTAATTTTCTAATTACATGTCTAGCAAAATTCAGTTTACATTCATTCAAATTAAATATTTACACTAAAACATTGACAATATAAAAATAATATATTTACAAACTAATAAAAAAACTCAAAAAATTAGAGGCAGCAAGCAAGTTGCAGTGAGAGTCGTCATCTTTGGATCCAAAAATATGCGGTCACTTCGTCCTGTTATGGGCCGTACAATTGGGCCTTTACTAGTCTTGATATCACGTAAGGACAACAGAGAGATCAATGAAAACGACAATGGAGCCCAATAAATAGGGAGTAAAGGTGGTTCTTTGTTTTTAAAATGGGGATCTATATGTAGCTTTTCTGTTTTTTTAATTTTCCGCCTAGTGTTCTGTATCCATATTAGAAATTGATTAAATTTAAAATCATATATTTAATTTGGACTTCGTATCCAAAAGAATTCAAATTTAAAATATTTTAAATAAGAGCGAAGAAATACTTAACATTCCATCACAATTCTTTATCGCATGGATACTATTTTTAACCCCAAAAGAGAAACAAAAAAGATACAAATGTCAGATTGGATGAGGTTAGGTAGAGGGTTGTCATTTCACTATCCTATCATACGGTTTATTGGAGTCCAGCTGTATTTACCTGTTACGACACTCTATCGTGCACATACGGCCCACTGCTTACCCGCCTATTCATTTGCTCTAGTTTTTTTTTTACCGCATTTCTTAATAAAAATGAATAGTATTTTGTCTGTTTCATATTATATAACAGTATATTTTAAATAAAATATTATTTATAAAAATAGAGAATATTTTTATTCTTTTCGTGTAGTTAAAAATATTTTTGACTCTCTTTCCTTAGTTTTATCTTTATTGTTTGTATAACGAAAATTTGTAGATTCAAATATGTTTGTACACATGTTTAGAGTCAGGAATTATACTCCTTTTTTTTTACGAGGTATATGTCCTCCATCCCTTTAATAGAAACAAATTTGAGTTTGTGCTTTTCTTTTTGTTTTAGATTATACATTATCACATACAACAATATTTGTTATGCCTTTTATCAAGAGAAAGTCGTATATAATAGCAAATTAATAACCTAAATTAAATGGAATAGTTAGGGTTTGATTTAATTATGCTCTATAGCAAACATTAGCTAAAATTTGCTAGCGTCTCTCTCCCAAAAAT